CTGGACTAGATGGACCACCGGCTTGATCTGGCAGGGCTCTTCTGAGGTTCTTATCAGGGGAAGGCCTCGGCCTCTACGCCCTGCTGCTGGCCCTCCAATTTGGTAACAAATTGTTTTATGCAGGGCTTTTTTTGTAGAAAAAGCCCAGCAGGAACTCATTGGCATATTAGGCCACACCCTGACCGTACAGCTCATTAGCATATTAGGCCACACCCCCTGCCTTCCCTTGACTTGTTTGGGTGCCCCGCGGCTGCGGGAAGCCCAGGCAAGCGAGCCCTTGATGGGAAGGCACAGGGAGGCATTTAAATGCCTCCCCAATCCTACCAGGGCCCCCCCGGCCCGCCCGCCTCAGAGTCACTGGGGGGGGTCACTCTCCAGGCCTTCCCTCTGTAGCCACGCAAGCGCAGAGGTTTTGGCTGTAGTGGGCGTGGCCAACTCTGAAGCCAGCCGGAACTCCGTTCATGTGCGTTCCTGCCCCAAAATAGCCCTGGTTTTTGACCTGGTTTTATGCCAATAAAGGCTAAGTCTGAAACTGAATTACCTTGCTGGTGCCATGGGAGGTACCAGGGGCAGGGAACGCTGGCAGATGTGTTGGGTTGGGTATCGCTCCAGCAGGCGTACATATCAAACGTACGGTTGCATACCAAGCCTGGAAACAGAGTAAGGGGGGGGAGGTACCAGGGGCAGGGAACGCTGGCAGATGTGTTGGGTTGGGTATCGCTCCAGCAGGCGTACATATCAAACGTACGGTTGCATACCAAGCCTGGAAACAGAGTAAGGGGGGGGGGAGAGGACATGATTCCCCTCCGTTGGGGAGAAACAGGAAAACCACGCGACCTCCTCCCCGTCTTTCAGATCTGCAAATGGAACAAGGCGATCAAGGAAGAGGGGAAATGCTGAAAGGCGGCTGGGCTTTAAATGACACCTGGATGAGCCGATAGAGGGGACCATTACACACGTCTTCCATCAAGTGGCAAGAGGTTCTGGGGGCAGCCAGATTTGGGTGCTCTGAGATAACCGAGCCCTGCAGGCTTAGCCTGTCGGGAGACTTTACCTTCTTTCCAGAAGAGCAAGGGTGCGCAATAGCAACTCTACCTGGACACGCCCAACATCTCCCGGGAGGCAAAGCTTGCTGCGACCAGGGCTAGATCCTTCTCAGTGGCGGCCCCTACCTGGTGGAACAAGCTCCCGGAGGAGATCAGGGCCCTGCGGGACCTTATGCAGTTCCGCAGGGCTTGCAAGATGGAGCTCTTCTTTTGTGTAGGGGCCGCCGCTGCCACCGCCACCAATGGTGGCAGTACCATAGGGATTAGGAATCGCCCTGGAAGCTCAGCCATAAATTGCGTAGCATTGACAACATGGGGTTGGCATGAACGATCCACTGGACAGGGGTGCCCCAATGGGGCTGATCCCAATGGGGCTGAGGCCAACATAACCACTCAAGACCATCTTGTTCATAGAAGCACTTTATTATTGTTATTATTGATATGACTTATGATTTTATTGTCTTATAAAAAATCTTGGGTATGGGCCTGGATCTGAGCAGGGTATAATGCTGTTGAATCAACTAATTAAAGCAACCATTTTCTCCAGGGAAACTGATGGGCAGGAAACTGCAGAGGAGAAGTGTGGCTGTTTGCCCCGGGGCAAACTAACATGCAGTAAAGCGATCAGACCTACTGTGGAGGTTCTGTGGAGGTACTGTGGAGGTTCCATGGCAAGGGAGAGGTGCCGATCACAACACACGCCTGCGCGCAATGAAGAAGCGCGCGGCGCGGCGAACTGGTTTTCTTTTTTTGTGTACACTACGAATGCGCATGCTCCGTTGGGTGCGTGTGCGCATCCACGGAGACGTGGGGGAAAAAAACCCCTTTTCCGCAAGGGGACATGGGCGGGCGCCGGATACCACCGGAAACGCGATCAGACGCCCGCCCTTGCCCCGCAGTTTCTGGAAACTAGTACCTCCAAGGTACTAGTTTTTTGCTGCGCTTTTTCGGCAGGAAGCCTCAGTTGTGCCACGGAAGCGCTACGCTTCCCAGATGTGCTGGTGAGATCGCGACCGGAAACTCCGCTTGTCTTCCGTATCTCTTGCGTGGCTAATGTTGCGTGTGACCGCAGCCAATATAAATAAATATCTCTGCGCAAACACAGACCGTTGTGCACGAGAGGTGCTAAAAGCAATCAGACTTCTGCACCAAGGAAATCCACAGTCTGTGCTAAGAAAAAGTGGGATCCCACGACCGATGCAAATGAATCATGTTTCGGGTTGCCAGCCTCCAGGTGGGG